CCAATAAAATTACCTGAAAAAAGCTTATGTATTTTCTGCTCTCAAAAGGGCTAATTTTGCGTCCTTTTAAAAAAGTTTTGGAAGGGGCCTCTCGGAATTCGCCCACCTGCGGGAAGGGGTGGTCCCCTCCCTCACCTATTCTCTTTTGGTGCTTTACACCTCAGTGAAGCTTTCGGCTTCAATTTCTCGTGCCTACACATATTTGGAGCACCCTTCGCCACTGTTAAAGCACACAAAAGTTCTATGGGACCTTGTCTAGGCAAAATATTTTGTGCTGAATGGTTGTGAATTTTTATTTATAAAAAAAGAGAGAGAGAGAGAAATTCATATTTATGTACCTCGGGGAATTAGTGTTTTCATTTTTTAGCAAGTTTTCGTTTACTGTGTGTGCATGAAGATACCAAAATGAATAAAATGATACGTCTTTTGGGTGTATAAATACTTTATTGTACGCTTCTCTGTACCAGAGTTCCAACAAAGAACTAATTATCGGAGTTCCAACAAAGAACTAATTATCGAAGTAAGGTGATAATATAAAAATGGGTAGATAAATAAATATGAATTTCAGAGTGGCCTTGTGATCACATCACTAGCATTCACGTAACCTAATACTTAACATCATGCTAAGCTTCATACGCCCTCTATTTATTTGTTTAGTTAGTTTTAATTACATTTCTCTGCTCATTACGCGATTTCATTATGAGTGTAAATGTCAAATTTTATTTTCGAAGTTTTGTTTACTCCATTGTGCGATGTTCTAAATTAAAACTTAACCCAAAGTTAACTGTATTTGATTGTTTATACACTGTTAACACCTCCAACAACGCAAATCCATTTTGCAAAATTAATAACTATACAAAAAGTAATAAAGAAGTGAGATGATGCATTTCAAAATTGCTAAATTTTTAACCACGCAGATGCAATGGATGTCGAATGCGTAGTAATGTTTGCTTGATGAATAACAACAAAGATTATTTCAGCTGAATTCAATTTAATATGGAGATAACGAACAGTAATTAAGCTAAAATGTCCATTGAAACAATGCAAATCGGGAGCAGAGCAAACACGGACCTAAAAACACATCAGAGGCGGGATCAGGTGCCATAGAGGAGCAAGAATCACCTGTCGACCAGTCACACCCGCCTTGTGCTCACTGTCATGATCAGGCAAACGGAAAAATCCATTGACAATTCAGTGTTGAAACAATGACCCAACAATTAGTGCGAAAAACGTCAGTCAGCATTCGGCCCAATGACAGACCATACCCGCTGACTAGGTCATTGCACCGACCACAGAATTTGCGAAAGGATGACTCCAAACGAGACTGACGATATCCCTGCCCCACCAACCCGCCAGTCAACAGCTTGCCTCGTTTTAGAAAACTTTAGCACGCGGAGCACGCCCCCGCGCACCGAACCAACCGGGAGACACAAACCCCATACACAGGTGACAAGGGTATAAGTAATCCGCTACGTACATAAGAAAGGGAAGTTGACGACAGAAAAGTTATCACGCTTATCATAAAATTTTGCTAGGATACCATTAACGTCTTTTTCTAGTAAAATATCCAAATATGAAACAGATGTGTCAGAATCTTTGGTATCTTCCACCTCAAGGTCACTGGAATATATCGAGTCGACATATGGAAGTAACTACAGTAAAACTCGAATATAGCGAAGTCTTAGGGTTTGTGAATTTACTTCGCTATATCCGTAATTCGTTATATCCGTATAACGAATTCGTTAAAGTATATATAACGAATTCGCAATATGCATTTTTTTATTTAAATATTACTACCAAATATGTACAATGTACTTGGAGGTATTCACTACAAAGTTTTCCATAGGGCACTTAAGATTTTTAAAATATTGAATATCCGATATAAATACTGATTAAAAATAATATCAGATAAATATTTCAATTTTAATATATATTGAAAATTCGTTATAAAAGATTTAATTTTCGTTATTTTTAACCTCTACTGGACACAAAATCAGTTTGCTATATCCGTAAATTCGTTATATCAGAGTTCGTTATAATTGTAATATTTTCCTAGGATTTGTGCAGAATTTTGCCGGGGATTCCAAAAAAACTTCGCTATAACCGTGAATTCTTAATATCCTTGTTCGTACTAAACTAGTTTTACTGTATTGTTAATTGATATTAGGTCGATGTATCTAAATGTCGAGCCGAAGGCCACAGCGAGCGTCCCCCTCCCCTTCCATGCACAAGTTTTTGGATGAATTCTGCACCATTTGAATACAAAAATAGGTCGGCTGATAACGGTGTGCAATTGGTACCCATGAAAATTCCGACGGATTTTTGGAAGACCTGATATCCAAAAGCCACATAGATATTGTCAATCGGAAAGTCGAGCATCTTATTAATATCTACTTCAGAATACTTGTGTGTGCAGTAAATCTTTAAGGCCAGAAGCATGGCGTTTTTTTTGTTTAATACAAATCTAACAACTTTATATTTGGCAAAATCTGATTGCCTATATTTTTATGCCAAACCTAAAGAAACACTTCGACGGAAAAGGACGGAAAAGACAGCCATCTATCTTTTTTCCTGAGAGCAGGAGAACTTATACAGCGGTGAGGTACAGTGAATCTGTCGTCTGTCTTCTAGTCTTTTAACTTTTTTCAGAAGGAAAAAAAACACATTTTTTTTGCATGGTTGCTGAAAAAAAAATTTCGAATAATTCTATCAAAATTCTCCTCCTAGTTTGGTCTGTTTTAAATACAGTTAAGACTTGCTACACAAATAAACTACGCTAAGGTCATCAGGTACTGGTTTAAAAATTATTAAATTATACAAATCCATAAAAATTCAAGTCCAGGTATAAGTTTTCTTTTCCGAGTCTCTGTTCTCAAGCCAATAGCCTGGATTAATGAAGTGTCCGGATTACTGAATCAGACTTTTAATAATAATGATAATAATAAAAATTTTATATATATATATATATATATATATATATATATATATATATATATATATATATATATATATATATATATATATATATATATATATGTATATATATATATATGGGTGTGTTAATTTTGCTCCACACAAATTTCGCCCAGAAGGTGAAGCTTCCGCATTAACAAGATTCTAGTGAACTGGTAGAGCTCCAGTCTCGTCAGAGACTTCTGGTTTCTTTGAGCAGGCTTGTACTTAATAATAAAAAAATATTTTTGTGATACTGGGACTAATATTTCTCTCGAACGTTTAAAGATACATGTACATTGCATTTACTGATGGTTACACAGATCAAAGCTTCTCACGTCAGTCTTGGTTAAAATTTGCACACTCTCACTCTAACAATTTCTAAATAGTATCAACGTTTAATAATAATAATAAAAAACAATCGGCTGTATAAACTGAATCAAAATTATCTATATTGATTTCCAATATTTCTTTTGAGACCGACATGCCTTACTGTATATTATTTTTGGAAGCAATATAATCTACGGATGAGCAGGGTAGCAACGATAATTATAGATTAGGCCGTGTTTGATGTGAATTCAATTTCTTTTATCTGCAACATTTGAAAAAATTGTTTAAATAGACTAGTGTTTAATTGCTTCATCTATATTAAAACCTGCAACTCAAGATGAGTGGTATCTGGTAACACACTCTACACGGTTTGATAAAAATGCGAAATTTCTGTTTTGAAAAGGAATCACGTTGATTGACTTTAATTGAAATCTAGTGAAACTTTGAACACAAGTAGAATATATCAAATTAGAATTTTCTTTATATAAATTTAAAATCTACATACAGTTTCCTTAATAATTAATAATAATAAGTATTAAAGTAAAAAATAATGGAGATAAATTTAGAGGGAATTGACAGATGAGAAAAAATGTTTTGAATTATTCATTATTATTTACGACTTTTTTTTTAAAGAAGCTTTTACTTATTTTCGGACAAACAGCTGCTAGGTGTAATAAGCTTTTTGCCAACTTAATGATAAATTTAATAATGTTACCAATAATGTACATGAAATTAAAATGTTTCATTTTAAACAATATTTCATAGAAGACTCAACCTTAAAAAGAGTATATCAAGCCTTAAAAGCAACCATTTCCTCAGGCTGTTTAAACATACAAGTAGTTTTAAATTCTGGATACTACGTTATGTATAATGTGTGAAATTCGTGGTGCTTTAATTGAAATTGACTTTAATTTTTAAAAAAATTCGTGGATGCTTTTTTGTCTTACTTTTGTTGTAGTCTATAAGTACTTATTTGCTGTAGGAAAAGTTGTTTACATCTTGCGACTTTTGATCTATCAAGTTAAAGTTTGAAAGCAGTAAGATTTGTTTAACTTTTGGGGGGGAGGGGGGTCAATATCAATAGAATTATTATTGTCACCTTCTCTCAGTTCAATAAATAAATACATTTGTTGGCAATTTGCATGTTTAATCGCATGACGTCGTCAAAAATTGGGAAGGGAATTGGATACGTTAACTTGAATTTTAAAAATAAAAGTTGCTTTGGTCAGATAAAATTATCAGGGTGATATGCGTGCAAAACTTAATTAAAATGAGATTCATAAATAAGATTTTAAAAGATAATTGAAAGCGTGTTTATGTAATTTCGCGTACACTTCCTTCCTGGGGGAGAACTAGATAAAGATGTATCTAAATATTTAACGACTATATCTCGGGGTCCCACGGACGCCCGCGAATTTCGCCACGATTGAATAATTCAAGCAAGGCGCAACAATTATACAACTTTTTGTCATTTTCTGTCAACGAAATAAATATAACGAGAGATAAAGAAATCAGCTAATTATGTTATTTATAAATTGATCAAGAGATTTAGCACCGGCGGATAGCAATTTTAGCACGTGTAATCATACGTCATATTAGTATCGATGCTTGTCAAAAAATGAGCATTTTCTTCAATTGTACAGAGAGTAGAGAGGCTATAAATAGCCGGCTCCTGAACGCCAGGGCTACTTGGCGAATGATCTACGGGTGACAAAGAATCGACCTTTGGTTCTAATAAGTCGCCTACCTAAGTATTCCATATAAAATAAAGCACTACAGAGAAAAAAAAAGTTAGTCCTGCGTGAGTTTACGGAATATGGACTATCGACTAGCAGTGACTCTTCTGCTCCTACAGGTGCCTCTTGTTTGCATGGTAAGTACCTGTCAAATTCACGTGCTTTCTCGTTTATTCCCTCACTTATTTTTTGTGTCAACATTTACTGCTTCTCTGGCGGCGGTTGCAATTTCATTGGCGCAAAAATGCACTCATCTGTCGTGAAATATCTGTTATAAAATATAAGTGTGGAGCTTTCCTCAGAAAATAAGTTTTACATGGAATTTAGGTCAATAGATGAAATATGTGTGTGTTTGTGAATATCAGTTTCTTATGTTGTTTGAAATATTGAGTTGATATGTATATAAATATGTAATGAAAAAAAAAAAAAAGAACATAGATAAGGGTTTCGCACATCTGTTATATCACGTAACTGTAAATCAGTTAAATAATGAAGGTGATTTCAATTAATTTCAAGTTTTCTTATTGATTTGTAATTAAGAGTTTGAATTAGATTTGTGGAGAGGGTGTATCGTTCGATGTTCACTTGTACGTTTAAACCCTTTAGAGATTTATAAGGTATGGTTAAGTAGAGTAACAACCTTTACATGAAGAACGCTCTTAAATCCAGGCTATCCTTAAATTGGTATACACATGAACTTTTGGGCAGGACGTCAAATTTAGAATGGAAATTTGTTCAAGGCCAAGGCTGTTTACAGGTGTTACATTTAAAATGGAATAATCCAACAGTAAACACTAGGAAATGTGCTAAGACACACATTAAAAAATACTCGGAATTAGAAAATGCTTGTCCAAAAATTTAGAAAAATTGCACTTTGAACTACATTTCAGGAAATTGTATTTTTCAACTTTTTTGTAGCAAATTTTTGAAACGTTCCAGACTGGGGAAAATGTCTGAACTTTGTTATCAATTAAAAATATTCAACAATCATTGATAACGAATTTTTTTCTTGATATTGTTTAGTTATTCCATGATCACAGTCAATATCACGTATAAATAATTGGTCTTTAAATATGTCAGATTTGCCTATTTATAAGAACTTTTACGGTAATATAAAGAAAATGCTTAATTTTTTTTCAAATGTATCACTGAAAATTAACTGGAACTACATAAATACGTAAAGCTAATAATTGGCTGAAAACAAGAGTCTAGAATCTATGTAACAAATTTTGGGCTCTGAACACATATTATCGTCGTCGTTTTTTACTGGGACAAAAGTTGTTTTTTTTTATTATGCAATATAAACCAAGTTTCTCGGTTAACTAGACCAATGTTTGACCAAGTGAATTGGTTAGTTAACTGGCCTCTTTATGGTAAAATACGCAAGTGTTGTTGTGGTCAAGTAACTATGTGAGGTGAGGTCCCTCAAACACTGTGTTATGTCTGAACGATAGCATTTGAAGGAATACAAAAAGAGAGGGTCATTGTTACATAGATGTTTTTAAGATATTTGTTTAATTAAATGTGAAAAGTAAGCGTAGAAACATCAAATTTTGTGTATTCTAGTTTCCTGTTCCTGTCGTGGGAGTAATAAATAAAAGATGTTGTCTTAGAAATATATCAACCTTCAGTGCAAGTTCGTGTTTAGAAACTTCCGCGATTTGGGTCTTTTTATCCGAACTAAATTCAAATATTAACCTATTGAAATGGAGAGGAAATTGTAAAAAGTGTAAAAATTCTTAAATCCGCCTTTTTGAGGTGGTTATCTGCATTTCCTATATAGTCTTGTGCGATAACGTGACTACATAATGCAACAAAATTAGACCCCTGCTTTTCTTTTGTGCCACTTATTTTCCAATAGATCTATCAGAAAACACGATTCTTGGGTCGTAGATATCGAGACAGTTAGGAAATAATCGACCTCAAACCTATAGGCGATAATGCAAAACATTGAGGGGCAATAAAAAAGAGAAAAATCTTTCGTTGAAAAATTGCTACGTGCTGATTTTTAAAACTGTTTATTGGACAGGAAACCTTATAAAACATTTAATTAATAATCTTGGGTTCAGACGGAAGCATTCCACCCCCGAGCTTATTTACTCCCACAAGTTTTCCAGTTTCGGCTTAGCATTTCATTGCTAAAACAATACATCAAACACAATAGGGATAACGCTGTTTCACTGTTTACAAATAGATTTTAATATCGAATATTGCTTCACATGAGAATGACCGTCAAAGGGTGTGTTTTTTTTTTATTACGGAGCAGAACTTTATTCTTTCCCTTCTCCTCTTGTGTAATTTATTTGAATTTTTATGAATTTTCTTCGCACTTACAATACTGTTATAGAAAATTCTATATCATAAGGTAGATCAATTTTGTAATACGTGACATAATTCTTTCCTCATTCAAATTTTCTGAAGTGTGAACCGGCACTTTACCATTTCATACGAAGATTAAATACTGTTCTAGTGTATTAAAGGATATGCATAAGTGCATACTCTTAAGAATTTGCAAGGACATGGTTGACCTTCACGAACAACCAGATACGTAATGCTCATCTTCATGATTTAACACTGATGATTTTACAGCAGCTGTACTCTTTGATCACACCATTCATAATGGAGCAAATAAAGCATGAATGTATAAGCATCATGGGACTTTTTCTGACGTCAGTATCAGTTCACGTGACCTACTGGGCAGTCAAAATTAAATAGGCTGTAAATGTTAAGTGATTTTGGCAAGAATTTTCAATGGTTATGAGAGCTTCATTATTGAATTCACTGTACTTTGGATTCGAATTCCCAATTAAATGTTAATACGAAGTGGGGTCTAATCACCGAGATTCTATATGGATTGATATGTATTATTATTGCATGAAATCAAAAATTCCAAACTTATTTTCTTTTTGACAAATATTTAGGCAATTAGTTTAAATGATGATTACAGTTCCTATCCTTCTGCCCACATGTATAACTTTGTAACAAAAGGATCCACAGCTAGTTTTTGTACAGTATGAAATGGAGAGCGCGTCGTCAATTCTCATGAAAAATAACATAGAATGGGGCACAGGCCGTTTGTCTATTTGACTCCATAAATTCAAGAATAATATATGTAAATTTCTGATAGTTCATCACATGAACGACTTACCTTTTTGCCATACTCTTCAGAGCAATTTTAACTCCTTTTTTCTTCTTCTTTTTTTTTTAAAGTATGCAGAGTTAAAATATTATAAGGTAATTACATTGAGTTAAAAATTTTTAAATGGAAGCTTCACGGTATTCTTATTGTTAAGATACGTAGCAAAAGTTTTGTTGTTGTTGTTGTTTGTTTGTTTGTTTGTTTTTTTTGGGGGGTGTGTGTGTGTTTTTTTGTTTTTGTTTTTTGTTTTGTTTTGTTTTTTGTTTGTTTTTTAGTTTGGGAATATAGTGTTATATAGATTCTTTTCAGACAAGTAACGCAGCATTCGTCAAAAGTTAATTAAATTAATTGCATTAAATGGAGTCGAGCGTCAGGCAGGATTATTGCTATATCATTGTGATCATTAAAAACACTTCTTCTGAATGACTGTCCTTTAATTATGTTACTATACATAGTAGATCAAAAATATGCCATGAGATATTTTTTGCATTTTCCGCACTCCCCGTCCTCCCCCAGAAAACCTGAAGTTCACCGGAAAAACTTTTGAGAGAATTGTGTTAATAGCATGGTTAATCCACAAATATTTGATATTCACTGTTGTGATTTATTTAGAGCGACATATGAAATCAATAAAACAGCTATAAACCGACAAGTCAAATTTATGTCAGGTGAAATCTAGTTGTACATCAGTCTAACAAGGTCGTGTTCTACTCTCTTTCTTATTTACTATCAAGTGCTGCAGAGAATTTGAGGACAAATATTCTATTTTTAATTATAATATTTGTTTTGACTTACTTCTTTATATATATATATATATTTATGGATATCTGATATGGCGGTGCTCTGTTTGACACAAATGAAAACGCAAGGTTGGAATTGAATGGTCATTTATTAATAAATAAGTGACGGAGCAATCAAAATATGTCAACACATACTAGTATAATTGACAATACCAAACACAATTAAACACATTAGGTAATAGAAACAAAAATGTATAGCAGAAACCATCATAAAATCTTAATTTCACAGTATTATGCAAGGAGATAAAATATACAGTAAACAGAACGCGTATTTCAGACCTAAACAGTGTCAAAGATGAGGCAACATCCGCCATATATATTATCATGAATGAATTTACATTCGAATGAAAATTATTTTTGTGTGTATCGCTACTCCTCTATAATGATATATTATTGATGTACCCTTTTTTTATTGTCAATCGAACGAGTACAAGACTATTTGTTGCTTTTTATAACCTTTTTTATACTAGAGTGTATCAGCCGGATAATTAAACTCTTCAATCTCTGCATCATGTAGTCTACGCATGGACATTATTGAGAGGGATCTATGCTCAGGATTAATTTGATAAATTAATATTCCCATTGATGCACTTAGCATCACAGTTGTTCTTGCTGACGTCATAAGAGGGAAATTCTATGTCATAGTAATGGTAAAAATATAAATAGTAAAGCCAATAACTATAACAACGGAGATTAATCATCCATTTTATTCAGTTCCTAGTAAAAAGATACAACGATTGGCACAGATATTGACTCAAAGGTTCATGGTGAAAATTTGTTCTTGTCTCGATACGTCTTGTTTTAGATTTTTCACATCCATACCCATAGTTGACCGTTATCATTGTATTTTAAAAAAAAATAGTAATTTTAATAAAATACCAGTAAAAATAACTTTTTTACAGAAGGACTTAAAATTCAAACTTATCTTAACCCATGTTGCCGGTAAAAACAATGTAAAACATTGCAGAATACTATAAAGTCACTAATTTTCGTTGGGTTCAAGTTTTAATTTTTAAATGTTAGTTTAATTTTCATGTTGACATAGCTGGACGAATCTTCCACGATCGAACAATATTATGCAAATAAATATTCATTAAACATAAAGAAAATGTTCATCTTAATTGTGAAATACAGTATGTATCTTGGCCAAAAATAAATGAGCAATAAACAAAAAATATCTCGTTGTGAAAGTAGAAGTGGAAAATATTTGATTTAGGAGACAGGACAAGATTCATATTCTAGGTGATGGAACTTTTCTTAGGTTTTATGGAGAAAATCTTGTCACTTGCATTGTAAATGCGTTTATAACCATTGTTGTTAATTGATATTATATGTTTAAAAAGCCAAAGAAAAGTGGCGGTAGAAATATTGTTTTTCTTTATTTGTGCTTACTATCAATGTGTTATTCTTCAATAATACATTAATTAGCAAACATGAGCAAATTAAAGTTACATAATGAGTCAAAACCACGCGTTTCTTTTAAAATAATTGTATCATAAAACAAAAGATTTATGTGAAATATGAATAAAGCGAAGTTTTGACAGCTCAATTGCACTGTAAAGCAAGAAAAGAACTGCAAAATGTGCCGGAAAAACAAAGGTTGTATCTATCACTTATTTGTTATCGTCAATGTCAACAATGTCAAGGTCATGCGTTCTTTTATTCTTAGCGTGAAACTTGCAAACAACATTGAATTGGAGCAAGCAAAAGTGAGGAATAAGTTCTGATCATCTTTATTGAAGATTGTATGAAAACCCTCGGTCATCCGACATTTATATCTATGGAATTGGCACCATGGTAAATTCTTCAACTTTTCTGCGCATGCGTAGAATAAAGAGGAAGAAGTGAAGCAATATTTTTCTGTGGGGCAAATAAAACTTATTTTCACTTTTATTTTTCTCCATAAAAGTAGATTTTTTAGGTTTTGAAATGTGTAATTTTCTGAAACCTAGTATCTTTAAGAATTGCACAAAATTTGCATGTGTCATGCAAAAATTCTTTTGTCAATTTTCTCCTTTTTTCGTCACGGTGTCTCTTTAAAAGAATTTCCTTCAGCAAATTACACAATTTTTACTGTTTTTATTTTTGTGCGAATATATTTTAAAAATCTGACATTACAAGCAGTGCTTACACTTGGAGTTCTTCCAGTCTTAGATAAAGAAGTTCTGTGCCAAGTTCATAAAACAGATTTTACGTTGTAATAAGGCCCTGCTCTTTTCCCTAAATCGCACATATTCTTTGTTCACATCAGCAATAATTGCACAGTTTTAATATATGATAGCTTTTAACACTGCACTTTATTACATATACATGGCAATGACTTGAACTCACCTTAAGGAGGCTGGGGGGTCAACAAATTAACCACCAGATTTAACTTAATTTTTTAGATATGATATCTTAAGCTGTCAACTATCATTTGGCAAAGAAAAATTTCAAAAATTTTAGTTTTAAAATTTGATCATTTTCTATATCTTCATATGGAGCTCTTCTTCTAAAGGAGATCAATATAGTATAAAAATGGCCACAACCCCCCAGCCTCTTTAAGTTTACATTCCTTTTATTTGCATAATATTGTAACTCAAAGAATCTGTGCAAGGACTTGATAAGCCAGTTCAGCAAAGAAAGTAGACCGAAGATACCTGTAATTTAGTTACAAACTCAAACTTAGTCATTTGTTGGCTGTATTCCAGAAAGTACTGAATCTTGCCTATAAAATCACTTGAAATTATATTCCTCTAGGTTCAGTACGTTTGGCAAATGTCTCAACAGTTTAAGTTACGAGATAATGTTAGTTTTCTCTAAACATGTAGCTTAATGTCCTTAAAGGTTCCTGGGCCTCCAAAATCCTAGCTCTTCTTTTCTTTGTTTTTCTTTCTTTTCTTATTAAATAATAAAATAATCTTTTCGGATATTATGAAAACCAATTATCTAAAATAAAATGCATGAAGTGTAACTAAATCGGGGAAGCAGATATGTTGCACTTTAGAAAATGTTGCCAAAGGTTTCACAAAAACTATACCAGCTAATAATTGCACCAGTTGAAGGTCTCGGAATTGATAATTTCTGATTTTAGAAATGTACCTTTGGAAACAAGTTTTAACCTACCCTTGGGGATTACATGTAGCTTTGGAGACACACATTTCACAAATGTGTCAAAGGATACATGTAAACATGTAGCTTTAAGCCACCATGCATCCATTTTGCATGCTAAATGTCCATGGATAAATAAGATTTTGAAAAGAAGCGCTGTGTGAATTTTCATTACGTGACCAACCACGATGCTCCCACAATGGAGCATAAATTCTGAACCTAGAGATACAAATTTCAAAATCCGGTTAAGCACTAGTTGCTCATTATCATCATGCAAATATTTTGCCTACTGGATGTCAGAAGTAACAATCTAATGTATTTTTAATATACAACTCAGTCCCTCCCTGTGACCTGAAGAATAATGCCCAAAGTTAGCTACCTTCATGTCCAGGAGCAAAGAAAAAGATTCTCTACGATAGAATATGAACATCCCAGTGAATCAAGGGGTCCTGAATTTCACAGTTTTGGTAAAGGGCCAATTGCTAATCACAGCGCTGTTAATAGTTTGACAGCTTGATGTCCAGTAGAAAAGAGGATTTTAAAAGATATGATGATTTTTTCAAAGAATAAGACCAATTAGCATCAATCGGGGGTCTGAAACTAGGGATCACAAGTTTCACATTTTGTCGTATAGGGCTAATTGCTAATTATAATCATGCCAAGAGTTTGACTGTTTTCGTTTTCCATAGTTTTGGCCACATCCCTTAGGCCCCAGGGAGGCAGAGACCATGCAGTTCATAGTTCATAGATGTTTTACTGGTATAACCAAAAAAAATGGTTGAAATTGGTTCAGTCGATAAAAAGAAGAACCTAAAAATGTTCAAAGGTTAATGGACGACAGACAGAAACACAGATGGCAAAATGCTACCTGGTACACCATAGATGAATTAAATCTGCTGCTAAAAACGAACCAATGTTACATGCAAATTTGATGGATTTGTAATTTTAAAAAAATGGATATAAGCTTTACGATGGATAGTTCCAAAAAAAAAAACTGAAATGAAGTTGGGTGGAGATGAAGCAAAAATTTAAATACCAGACTTGTAAATTCTGCGATAAATTTTACACAATGCATGCCTTATCAATAAAAGTCCGATCCATAATTAAAGGCATATCACACAAAACAAGTGACGAACGTTACATAAGTTGAAGATATGACAGTCCAGGATTTATTAAATATTTAACTCTACATCACCCTCTTTTCGTGCTCAAACTATCAGAGAATAAGAATGAAAGACAATGGCCAGTGGGGTCCTTGAAAGCCTTTTCAGACTTCAGGTTACCACAATGACAAGATAGCGCTTAACTGATTCTGAATTCTTTCCCAGTGGTAGATAAGGATGACTGGAATCGTTTGTTTGGTAATTTTTATGTCATTAATGTCTTTATATGTAGATTGAATGAATGAAAGTACTGCACAGATTGTATCTCTTTGTCTGGGATAATCATTGGAATTAGAACTTCATGCATTATCATTTGTTTAACACGGGTTATGTCATTAATTCTTGAAATTGTTATCTTTGTCGAGGTAGAATGATTTTATTATTTATAGCTATAAATATCCTTTATTTCATGCCGATATAATTGGTAAGTTTTAGCTTGAGGTTAAGTCAGTCTGGCTGTCCATCTCCGTCTCTGTAAGCTTTCAGAACCTAATCCTCCATCAGTTTTTGTCTGATTTGACTAAAGAATTTTAGATGAGAATATAACACAGGGTTGCATATTTCATAACATTTCGGTTGTCAAATTTCGATGGAAAAGCAATTACACGTACAACTTTAGCCGTTATTATAAAATAGAGTAACCTCCGAATGTCGCAGACTGACAACAATTATATCGCCGGTTGTAAGGGAATTCAAGGAAAAGTTTTGATTAAAAGTTTACTGTTTAAATCTTTTTTCCTATTATGCATAAGACCTCATTTGAAATGGAGTCTTTGTAAATATATATGTTTTTTACGCTATATTTTTTTTAAAAATTTTGGTGGAAGGTGTTATTTTTTCCTATGGGAAGAAAACAATTATGTGTGCACCAATTATTCACAAACTATTTTAAGTTTAAACTAATAGAGTTTTATCCCTGATATAAAACAACTTCATCATTACATTGTACAATGAAACCGATAACATCCCGTTTTCTTAAGGTATATACTTACATTATTTTTATATATTTAAAAAAAAAATCCAGATACATATTAACATACATGTATTTTGCTCTGCATTAGATTCTCGACATAGACATAAGCACTGCATTTATTCCACAGTCTGATTTTCTACCGAATTATTAAATGTTTAATATATATTCCTCCAGCACTATTATTGAAGATTTTATTTGACAAACTAGAATCTGTTATAAATTAATTACCTATAAATAAACATGAATAAATTCGTAGCATGAAATCATATCTTGCAAAATTTTTGGTTCGCTAAATTAAGAATTTAATCAGACACAAAGATCGTTTAATTTAGTTTATCCAAATGGTTTTTTTATGATAGTCTTTTTCTATGAAGTACATCATGTATTTTCTGTCGTTGTAGGCCACGAACAATTTTGCCTCAACCATTAGCAATGCAACAGTGAATAATAATTCAACGAAGGATGAATTTTTTTCAAACACGACATCAAAGTCTCCTTTTCCAGAGAAAATATTTTGCGATTTCTACACTCAGTGGACAACTTGGTCGAAATGCAATAGAAACTGCATGCAGACGCGCATGCGCAAATGTCGCAAAAAAGACGTCTGCGGAAAATCAAGATTCAAAGAAAAACAATCATGCAAACACCGTACCCGGCAATGTCCTGATCATTCATTTAAGATTATTGGTTCTAGTTTACGAAATAGAAGAATAGAGGATCGTTTATATGACATTTTCTATCATTCTTGGACAGCGTGGACAGCATGCAGCGGTGATTGCAAAACGAGGCGTCGCCGGAAGTGCAAGACTGATATCTGCACAGGAGGATTTTTGGAGGAAGAAAAATCTTGCAAGAGTACTTCCAAGTGCAACAAGATAATGTCATTATATGTTAAAAATCGACCAAAAAATAGACAAGGTAGTAAATCAGATTCTTATTTTGTAGCCAAATCAAATTATTCAGTGGATAAAACATTAACGAACACATAATTATCTCAATATAAATTAAATGTGCCTTTTTCTTCAAATCTAGACAAACTTAAGACTTTAAAGGGTTTGCAAAGTGTCTGTGGAATAAGACCTAACACAAGATCCCCTCGCATTGTGGGAGGACACGAGAGTATTCCACATAGCTGGCCCTGGCAGGTAAGTTACACGTAATTTTCCTATCCTATTGTATACATATAAACTTAAGGAGATGGTTATACTATACATGCTATTTTATCTATTTAGGTTGAGATTCTAACAAAAAGGAAGCGACACTTTTGTGGTGGAACTTTGATTTCTCCACGCTGGGTATTGACCGCTGCCCACTGCATCGTAAAAAAGGGAAGAAAGCGAAAAGTACTTGTTCGCGTTGGCGAACATGATACAGATGTTCGAGAAGGTACAGAAAAGGATATCAGCGTCAGTCGATATCTGCCGCATCCAAAATTTAACTACGCATTAGTTGCAAATGACATTGCTCTTCTCAAACTTTCCAAACCTGTGCACATTTCAAATAGTACAGGATATGCGTGCATACCCAAAAAGGGTAAAAAATTTAGAGTGAAAGCAGGGACATTATGTAGTACCCTTGGTTGGGGTAAAACAAATATAACAGCACCTCATAACAATAAAGTATTATATGAAGTTCAAGTTCCGATAGTAAAGAAAAAGAAGTGCAAAAAAGCATTTTCCTTTAGAGTTACAAGCTCTCAGCTGTGTGCAGGCTATTCAAAAGGCCAGAAAGACGCTTGTACTGGTGACAGCGGTGGACCATTACTTTGTGTCAAGTCACGTGGTCTCTATAATAGGAAGTGGTATGTAAATGGTGTCACTAGTTATGGTGAAGGTTGTGGACAGAAGCGGAAGTTTGGAATTTACACAGACGTCAGTAAATTCTATCGATGGATTGTTAAAAATATTTCAAAAGATTTATAGTGAAAGTGTATTGTTATTGAGTATGATACGCACACAGTATTTTAAGTTCTAAGTCCACGGACGTTAATTAAGTGAATTGCTGAGTTTGTGGGGAACAGCCTGTACGACAATCATAACAATGGTTCATTGCTATTTTCACTTACTTGTTTTTAGTTCTCTACTTTTGCTACTGACGAGCAACTAATGTCAAAAAATTATACAAACATAACCTTAACACAGGATCATTATGCTTAAACACCCATCCACCCAACCCCTATATTTATACTTTAGCTAATATGCATTTTTCGTTATCATTAACTGCTAGTCCATAATATAGTTGAATAAATCAGTGACAGTAGCAACGAACCTTTGCTTTGCTATTGTCTGTCTGTCATGAAACTCACCAATTCTTAAATGGGGGCTGCAACCTCAAATTTAAAAAAAAAAATGTTTGTTATTTATAAATGTAACCATGTTCCCATTGTAGTTGTTAACGCTAGGGTTGTGTAAAAGTTTATGACCAACACTGACCGTTTGTCTGTGCGAGTCATTCGGTCATCACTCAGCTCATGCAAAATTCATACATGTAATTGGATCTGAAGAAACATGTGTCGGTAAGAAATTTTACGTTGAAATAACTCAGAAATAACATATGTAGATGTAGTAGTATTCTGGCTTTCCTGACTTTATTTTCTCAAGAACAAAAGGTAATGTGGGTCTTCCAGTTAAACAAGGTCAAAATACATGACAGAAAGTACGTAGAAGCTGCTGAATCGGCAAGTACTAGCACTTGTTTTACACACTTAGGCTAATGTTTGATTTTTTGTTATTGGACACAATAAACTATAGGGTTTTTTGAACCAGAATTGCTCTTTATTAAGTTTAAAGCTGATGAATTCAAAATCGCCTTCCTCATACAAATGCTAAATTTACCTAATTCTAAAACAGAAAAGCCAAAAAAAGTACAGATAAAATTAAGATACACGATCCAGGAGTACGGCCTCTAGTCTTTTGAAAATTAAACATTTTTAATGTACGACAAACAAGCATATTGTTTGAAAGAAATTACAACGCAAATCTCCATACAAGGCCTGGTGTAACTGTTTAATTAGTTTTAGGTTGAAAAGTTCTTATTGTAGGATTTTCCAGGAGTTATTCAACAACAAATTCACTGACATTATATGCTGCCAAGAAACATTGTTTACATAAATTTAAATCATGAAAAATTGTCATAATATCAGCATCATACGTCATGTTATATGATACATTTATGTTACATGTTCTTTGTTTTTGTTTATTTATGTTGATCATCAGACACTTATAGTTGTTAAGTCTAGATCTCATTTTATCACTATAAACATGCATCTTCCCTGGTCGTATATTCTGGATGAAAATTTACCCAATAAAAAATCATCCATGCAAGATTTTCCAATTAATTTTTTGTTACTGATATAAAATGGCTAACTTAGATGCATTTCAAATAAACTCTCTGAAGTCTGAAGTGTTCTTGAAGATGCTTTAAATTTCTTTGATGTTCTCAGGGTTAGACGAAGAAATACAATAAAATTTAGAAAAAAAGTATATACTCTTTTTTTCCATTTTATTAGCTCACCTGAACTTAAGGCTCAAGTAAGCTTTTCTGTCCGTTTTCTGTCATTGTTGTCGTCGTCCAAAAATATTCAAATTTTCATCTTCCTCTCCGGAACCACTAGGTCAATTTCAATTAAACTCGGCACGAAGTATCCTTAGATAGAGGGGATTCAAGTTGTTTTTCTTTTAAATATGAGGCCAGTTCCCCTTCCATATAGGATGGAGTAATTTAAAAATCTTCTCAAGAACCACTAGGCCAGAAAAGAAGAAATTTATTTGAAAGCTCCTGACATAAATTACTCGAAGATTGAAAAATTATTGAAATCATGACCCCATGGATAGGGTTGGCCACAATGAGAAAACGAAGTAACTGGGTATGTATAGGTCAAATTTTCTGAAGAACAGCAGGGCTATGATCAGTCTATTAATATGCATGCATCCTCAGGTAGTGACAATCCAAGTTTGTTCAAATCATGGCAACCGGTGGTAGAGTGGGGCCACAAAAATCTTCTCCTCAAGAGTAGCAGGGCCATGATAAGTCACTTTTAAAATACACAAGCATCTTGAAGTATTGCAGATTCAATGATCATGCATGTTCCTCAGGGATACAATGGGGCCACAGCATTTTCATGAAAAAGAGGGGGAAAACCTTAAAATCCTGAAAAATAGCAGGCCAAAGGTGACTCAGGTGAGCGTTGTGGCCAATGGGTCTCCTCCTACATACACATTACTTTTTTTTTTGCATTGACTTAGTGTGTGCCTTTATGAAAGGTCAAGTGTTCCAACAATTAGAATTAAAAGTGTCCAATCTACATTATTTCTTTTTTTTCCAATCAGTGAAGCACTGTTTCATTTTTGTAGGGAGGGGAGGGTGGTTTCTAGCACTTCAACTAAATGGCTCCCATACGTCACAGATTGCTAACTTTCATCTTTTAAGTTAACTTTCATCAAGACCTGTGACATAGGAAATACTTAACGTGCTCTCTTTGCACCCATAAAAAGCGGAAGTAATTATGTGGTGGATAGGAAGCGTATCAGAGTCAGAATTTTAATTGTCACATTAAGTACCTCTAAAAATTTCAGCACATTCTTCAAACTGTCAATAAGAAAAGTAATGTGGCTCACGTTTCCCCAATGGCTGAACTAATACTCCCAACAATCGATACTCGGTATTGTTTTGATAAAAACTTTAGATAATCTACCATTATTTTGTTGTAGGAATCTAATGAAGTTAATCTCTTAATCCTAGTGAGCCGTAGTTCTCAGTCGCTCTATTTACCGACTTGGGTCGATTTGGAGCTATTCTGGGAAGCCGCCTTAGGTAAAACACTGTCCTTGACTTGACAACCCTATGGTCTACAAAAAAAATCTCCCAACAACGCATGCCATTTCATTTTTTCCACTTTTAATTAACTGCAATTATGGTGTTTATTAATTTTACTTGTCAACATATTTCCCTTATCATTATTTATCTCTGAAATTATTTCTGTAGTTCTCTGAGTTTACAGTGTACGTGTTACTTTTTCAGTAATATCTATTTTATCCTTTATGCTATTTTGCATGGCAAAACTGTTATTACGAAATCGAAACCTGTCTGGTACATAGATCAATCAGGAATCAAAAGTTTGATGTGTTATATTTAATCATTTGATATTTTGATAATCCATAAATCACTGGAGAATCCATAAACCATATCATTGCTTAATTTTTTTCCAGAGATTTTAAATAATGATTTTCACAAGTTAAAATCTAGGATCGATGAAGAAAATCCATCCCAGATAAAAAATTTTACAAGTATTTGTTACGTTACTCTGTCGGTTTTGTATGAATGACATCTCGATTCATACAACTTAGTTTGCAGAGGCTGGCTTATGTCCCAGATTTCCTACAAAGATTGATTGATGTTGATTAGGCTCTACATTTTTTCGGTAACAGTACCGAGTTCCTGTCGTAAATAAACCAGTTCTCTTTGAATATGGCACACAGGGGTCGTCACCTTAACAGACACTGGACAAGCTAATCCTGACCAAAATAGATCAAAGAAACAAAAATAGCCACGAATAATAAAAGATTAATACCTGCCTTTCGTGTACAAGTAGTGTATCTTGGGACGATTGTTGCTGTTTATTTATGAGAAGTTTCGTTTCATTGTGATATGCAGTATAGAGTTTGGTGTATTTTCTGTGTTTATTATTGTTTATTTTAGAGTAAAGTTAATCCTATCTCAAAGGAAGGATTAGTGAAGTACATCAAAATAATCATATATCAAAAGATCAAATTCTAGAAGAGTTACAAAAAGCTAATTTCTTTGACGTACATCTCTCATTTTTAGCATTTCTTATTTCCTCTACATCTTCAAAAAAAAAAATGCATGGCCTGACAAGCGGTTAGTATAATATGCAGTACTAGTAATACTGACCACAGATAAACCACAATGTCAACAATGCAGATCTGAAAAGTCGCAAATTTAAACTTCCAGGGATTGGACATCCTTAGGGTTTTTTTTTTTTGATTTTTTTTACACATGAGAATGTTGGTAAACAATGAGGACATGACCTTTGTTGTTCTTAAAAACTACGTTTCAAATAAATAAGAAATATTGTTTTGTCTCGTTTATTGCAAAAGAATGATGCTTGATTATCCTCTTCTAAGAATTACAGTTGTTCAGTTTGACATTTTTGTATCCATCCAAGATAAGTATTTGGACACGCGAGTGTAGACGTTTGGCATGTTCTGACAGTTCGAGGAACCCCATGACGTCACACCGGCCAAGACCCATTGTCCATTCTTCTGACAAACCAGTGGCCCACCGGAGTCGCCCTGATTTAATGACAATAAATGATTACATTGCCATGGTACTTTCCATTCTGCTGGTTGGGGGTTTGTATTTAAAAAGAATCATTTAAAAGATTAAAAACGACTCACATTGCATGCAGATTCGGAGCCCCCTCCTACACAGATATGAGTGGAAAGGATGCTCTGGAACAACCATCGCCAGCTACAGTCCGAATTGGTCAAAACGTTGATCTGCACATGCTGGAGAACGTCCGCAACACCCCCATTAGCTACAATATTGTAATATTTTTTGTTTCTAATGCGAAGGTACATATGAGGTTGAGTTCGGATCTTTTTTATTCCATTTCGAAGAGTTTGAGGTTTCTCAATGAAGATATATGTTTTTTGCACTTATTAATTTAGTTGTTTTTTTTAATATAAAATATGCATCTTTGCAAACCAAAACTCTTTATCACTTGAAAGAAGAAAGGGACAGATCGGAACCCTGCATAGCAAAGATGTAGAAAATGCTATGCCAGATAATTATGATGACATGCAGCTTATATGTATTTATGTCAACGAACAACATAAAACTAGGAGTTATAAAATTCACTGAAAAAGGACATATTGGTCATATGTGGCATCTACCTTTCAAGATGCTACTTCGTCATGTCAGTATGTATAATAATTATGCAAATATTGCAACTTAATTATGTCAACGTGCACCTTACCCATTTAGATATTTATGATCATTACATGAGATATTTCATTTTTTGTTGTTGTTTTTTTGTTAACATGAATTGTGTCAATGCTGTATTGTTTAAAACTAAGTAAACCATCCATGATTGATAAAGTCGTTTATATGCATTACACAAGGACGAAAAATAAACAACCTTCTGTCATGTAAATTTTGAATTTACCGGGTGGTAGTTTTCATGTTGTAAATTTTGTATTTACTGCCACCTGGTAAATTCAAAAAATTACAACACGACGCTTCTCCTCGCGCCTTTACACTAACTTGTCTTATTTTGATGTAATTCATTGCTTGTTAATAACTTCATGTATTAATTCAGTAAACAGAACCATTAGGAATCTTGATTGTTGACGTATTTTGTATGTAGACATATGTTGCTATTTGACACAATTATCTTAGAAGATGACATGTGTTTAATAGGCTGAATTTCGGCACAAATCATGTTTAAAAAATATCTAGCATGCCATGCTATATGATTATAATATTACCTTGCATGTAATGAAGTTATATCTAGCTAGTAAAATGTCACATTTAATTTACAACTACATTTCATAATCTTAAGGTCAGGCAACTTTAATGAATGAAGTATTGCTACTTTAACAAGTTTCCTCACCAAAAATTGAGATACATTAGCAAGCATTTGTGCAAGATTCCAGAGTATTACCTAAATAATACTAATGAAAATCCCTTAAATTGCTGATATAACAATTCTTGTTTAAATAATATATTTTTGACATTCTGAAAGCAGTTTAGAAATCAGAAGATATTAATAATTATACATATTTTTGATATATTACAAAGAGATACAAAATCAAATATTCGACGAACATGTTGTCAGGACGTTGATATGTTGTCGACAAAAATATTTTGCATGTCAACATAATGTATTGCAAAATGTCTTGTACACCGATGCAAAAATACTCTATCATAATGAATAAAATCTGTAAAGCATGAAAAAAATGTAAACACCGAGGGATGTAAAACAGGAATAATGCGAGTACTTCAGTACTTTTACAGTACTTCAGTACTTTTACAGATGTATACACATTTATTTATGTATGTATAATTAGATTTATCATATTACGATCTTTTATAAATACCCCCAATCGTCTATAATTTTTGCATTAGCTTTATATTTCTGTCGGACTGATGCTATTTATTCCGACTTTCTTCTTCTTTGACTTAACTTAATACTTTGTATTTCATCAAGAGCCCAAAGCTGGCTTTTCACAAATTTTAGCTTGTACGTTTGAGACATTATAAGGTACATAATATAATATACATGTAGGTTAATTATAATTACCACTAGTCTTTCCCCAGCCACTGATGAAGCAGGTGTCTCGGGTTGAAAATTCTTGATTGGAGGAACTGGGCAGAGCCACGATTCCGATTTCCGGTCGACTAGTATCGGCGGAATCTTGTAGACGAAGAAGAGCAATGTCGTTCGGTATTCCACTGCCACCTCCGTTGTATTGTTCATGCTACAAGACAAAATAAAACACATTTAAATTAATATTTAATAAGACTCGATATTTTTAGCCATGTATTTAATGATAGTTCTGCGTGTCAGAATTTTTTTGGTTCGATTTAAGATTAACTTGATTTTGTTGCACTTTGAAATTCTTTGTAACGTGGTTGGGTTGGGGGAAGAAATTGTAACAGCAAGCATACTACCATGATAATTTCTGCAATGTTGATTGTCTGCTCAGAGCCATGGTCTTCGCTTTGAATGTGTTCTCCAAGAACAACACGGAATTTATTCACATTATTACTGAAAAAAATAATTGCCAACAATAACATTACACAATTATTGCTGTTTTTTTTTTTAGGTCAATACGATGGTTTAGACACCTGAAGAGTACAATATTCACCTCGCTCTTTGGACTCCGTGAATATATTGTACTCCTCGGGTGTTTGAATCATCGTATTGACCTCAAAACAGAATCAATTATATGATATTTGTCTACATTCTTTGAAATGCTTATCATTTTTTATTAACTCTGCATCGTTACTTTATGACTTACATGTATATTTTATAGATATAATTATAATTTTTGAAATATAACCATAACAGCTGACAGTTAGGAAATTATATCTATACATCATAGCAAAGGAATTGGTTTAAAGTTCTGTGATATTTATTAAAATCAAGATAAATTGTACAATTTGTTTAAATTTAGGTTGACCTTCTGATAAGTTAAAATGACTATAATTCCTTTATAAAATTGTAAAGTTAAAAGGCCATTTAGGTCAAATTTTGTCCCGAAAGCTAGACTAAAATTATGTGCATTTTAATTATAAATTTCTTCCAAAAAGTTAAAGTTGAAGCATAATTTTAAAGGGATGATTAACCTTAAAATGTCTTTATATTTCTGACCAATTGTCGCAAGGATTCAAGAACAATAAACTAGAAATGTCCACTGTTGAATGGTTTCCACTTACTCGAATTCCACGCAGTGTGCAGCAGTGAGAACCCAGTTTGTGTCTATGAGTGACCCTCCACATATGTGAGAGAACGAACCCCGGCTGGTCTCGTAGTGGAGGGATGCCTGCCAAGGCCAATCGCCCTGCCCAGAATCCACTCCATTGACAATGCGGCTCTGGAAATGTCTGGGCAGACCGTAAGCTTCAATTACGAAATAAAGTACGTTAAATATTTTTTAAAAGGTGGAGGTCTTTTAAAATAAGGAAGAAAATTGGAGATAAATACACGAAGTTTATATTGTGTGGCATACTATGGGGTTTATTTCATCAGTTCAAGAGAAAAAATATATTTTATATAAAATTATACTGTAATTCAGAACTGTTTTAATATAATCAATATTTGATTATGTGAAGACTTACAGTCTCATATAGCTGTATTTGACATCAAGCATCATGCTTGTATAAGCCTCTCCAAGAGGATCAAGGTTAAAAGCATATAGAATTAACAATGAAGTTTAAGGATTGACAGTGAAGGGTAGTCCATAATCATACTATTGTTATACCTTTAAAAATTATTTCATATGGAAATCTATACTAAAAAAGTTTACATTTCCTATGTTTTATTGAGCGGTCATAAATAATCGATGTTTGACCGCGGAATGAGATATAGAACCTATCGATGAGATATTGGACCTGTCGATGAGATATTGGACTGCTTACGTCATACTGAGGGCGGGATCAGCTAAATCTTACACACATTCGTTCGTGTTAAACAGAGACAGAAATGCAGGTAAAGGATCGGAAATTTACATCATGGAAGCCAGCACAAGATACATGTATATCAAGAAATATAAGGTACAAGTTAAATTTATGCAAAGCATCAAATTGGCCGCAAAAATATATTTAGCATTTTGAAGTATTTCCACAAGAAAGAGTCCAGAGAAGAAAAAATTCCAAATTGAAAAAGTATGTGATACGTTTTAAAATTTGCTTTACTTTTCCGTGTAATTTTAATTAATACTTTAACTATCAGTGATCAATGGTTTAATATTTATCAAGATAAATAAATTCATGGATATAAAAATCGGGCTGAGATATTAAAGTATAGAAATGTATTATTATCAAATTATTTGATTCAAAGACAAATGCAACAAATATCTAAATAATAAACTTCAAGTGATGATACCCTTGATCTTTGTCACGTGATTATGCTGATCAGTGTTGTGATGTATCAAAATAAATGTGAGGTGCAGAAAAAAGTTTCATTGTTATTTCCAACTGTAGTGTATTCAAAACCAAATTCAGTTCTTAAACTTTTTACAATTTATTAATTATTTTAGGCGCTGTTACTCATATCCGGAAACTCAATATGTTTGTGTTTATATCTTACGCACGCCCATGTTAGGGAGCAGTTCATGTAACAACTCTATAAAATCATAAATTAATAAATATCTGATAAGAAATTAAAACAAATTTAAACGTAATAATAATTATTTAGATTTAGTATTATGCAAATTTTTAAAACTTTTAGTCACAACGCTTATGTAATTATCAATAAGGAATTATTGCAACCAAGCAATGCAAAAAATAACGTCCCATTTCCCCATATGCACATTCTAACACAACCACAAAATACTGTCAATGTTAGAATCAAGGTGTATATATTATGATTATTTCATTTTGTTGAAATAGTATATGTACAGATGGGGATAACTCGAGAAGCAAGAATGAGAGAATATGATGGCAACAAAGACAGAAAATGAGGGGACTGAAATGATGGAGTGTTCATGATAATAACAAAACATTTATTGACTGTGTTCTCGGGCAAAATGCATTCTGTCGACCCCTCGAACTAAACTTGTGCCTTCGGCCTGACGGCCTCAGGCAAACGGTTTGGTTCTTCGGTCCGACACGACAAAACGCATGTTACCCTCGAACTCGGTCAATAAATGTATAATATTAAAGCAGATATAACCTTAAAAAAGAAAAAAATGAAAAGAAAAATTTTGAATTATACAGCGGAGTATAACTCAGTATTTCCATATAGTAATAGAATACTATAAGGGAATTTTGAAAGACTGCAAACAAATAGTAGAACTAAATCGAAAAAATTAACAAAATAATGAAAAAGGCAAATATGCATGAAAAGCATAAGCACAGAAATGCTGAGGTTTAAACTGAGTATAATGTATATCAAAATATTAAATAATAATATTAAAATCTTTTTGTAGACTTGATATTAAGTTGGACCGCTTCAAAAATTGAACATTTAATTAAGAAGTGTTAGTAAGCATGCATTCGTCCTTTAAAACTTCTAGTTTGACTAGGTATCAATAATTCTAAAATAATCATTTTAGACTTTTTATTCTACTAATCAGAATCATCCATTAAATTATAATGTGTATAGCAGAACCGCTTTACCTTAGTAAGCCATTAAAATGTAGATGCTTATTTCACCTTTGTAGGAAATATACATGCACGTGCTCACAGTTTCAAAGACATGCAAAATTTGTAACGACTAATTTTCTGTTTTTGTTTTGAAATTACGTTGAACCATACTAATTTTAAGTGAAACAATAACATTAAATTCCATATAAATCTCATATTAGAAATGTACTTTTCTGCGTTTTCTTTTCTGAGTTAGCCTTTTGGGAATTTTTGACATGAAGTTAGATCTTGCGCCATAATTCTGCGGCGCCTGGGCAATAGAACCCCTGAAACCACAAGGTTACCCAGTATACTAGCCGTTAGGACTGTGTCAGGTTAATAATCTTGTCTGACATTGATATTTTCTGTTTTAAAATTAGTTTTAAACCCAGGCCCCGCAGGACTCCCACAACTGGAATGACTTACAGAACTTCGAGGCTGAATACATTGAACGTAATTTATCCGCATGAAGTACTGTACTTGTTACAGGAAAGTTATCCCGAAGAAATTTATTTCTATACATTTTTTTGTGTGTCTGCTTTCTTTTATTTTTGGATTTTTTTTTCAAGTATATGTATTGCTGCATAGAAAGACTGTGAAACGTGAAAAATAATTTTCTAAAATAATCTTTTTATTCAATATATCATATATTTACAAGTATTTATTTATCTGTCTTTTTTTTCGTTTTGTTCTGTTTAATTTTATTCATTTGTTTGCATTCAAAGTACCGTCAGATCTATTTTGATCGTAAGATTTGTAATATAAATAATCTTACATATTGTTTTAAGCTCATGCATAGAGGAGGACATCCCGTATAATGTCCAATAATGGATAAACAATTCATTTGTTAGGTTTTGTATTTTTTATGCTAAGATAACCAGACGTTACATAAATTATGTTTTTTTTCCTATATTAAATTGTTCTTTAAATTCTCACATAAATAAAAAAATATATATATTACAAATATCACCACTATACCATTCTACATGTAGTAGTGCATTGATAAGGCTACTCTCTCTCTCTCTCTCTCTTAGATCAAGGGAGAGGGAGGAAGTACATTGGGGCGACAACACAAGGGAGCTAGGGCGAAAAAGTTATTTACAGAGCGAGATCGCGTACAAAGCAATGGATCACTAACTCGTTCCCTATCATTCTCGTTTTTAAGAGAGCGAAGGAGCGACATTGTGCTGTCATTTGCGCGTTCTCACTCCCTCAGTTCAGTCCCCTCATTTCCTTTCTTTGTTGCCCTCGTATTCTCTTACTTCTGCTTCTCGAGTTTTACCCATCTTGGACATATACTATTTCAACAAAATTAAATAATCATAATATATATATATATATATACCATTGATTCTGACACTGACAGTATGTAAAATGTTTTCTATTTGCTCATATTAGAATATCTGTGCCTCGGTACAGCCCCTTCGAGGTCTACAGGAAAATATCTTGCTCTTTTTTTAGAGACGAAATTATTACACAATTTTTATCTTAAAATACAGTAGATGCATTGTAAAAATGATCAAATCATGTTTTATATTAATTCCTGTTGTTTCACTAACATCAGCAAAATGGCCAAAAAGATTTGACCAATCTGAAATATCTGATGCCTAATTTTGGAAACTGGGGCTCAAGAAAATATTGTTCCGAATAAATTTTAAAAAATATTAAAATTAAATAAAATCATTTTGAATATTTTTTGTGTTTCTGAACTATTTTTCTGTATTATCTGAATTTATCATTTTATCGTTTACTGATTTTTATTTGAAAATCAAAATAAGAAATAACAATTTTTAATTTTCAAAATAAATGTAATCGGTAAACGAAAATTTCACGTTGGCATACGGAATACTTTTCGTATAAATCTTTAAAGCTATATATGGTGTATAAAAATACGAGATTGAGTGTAGATGAACATGATATTTGATATTTACGTTCAAATTAAAATTTTCACCGATTTTGAACTTGAAAAACCCCTCGTTTCTATAGGTAAATCAACTTTAAACTGTGTCTGATATTTAAATACGGAGTCGGTAAATAAATTTTGTTTTAAATTTCTAATAACTATGAAACGCGATTGATTTAAATTGTGTAATTTACAGGAAAGTCCTATCTTTATATAAAGTAATATAACAAATAGAAAGATCTCTTTAATTTTAGTTAGTCTTAACTTATCAAAAATACGCCATATATGACTTTAAGGATAAAAAATAATATATAAAAGGTGTTAATTTCAACATAAGAAAATAATTTAGTGAAAATGTGATAATTGATAAAAAGTTGCAAGTGCTAGAACTTACCGACTCCAACCAACAGGAAAAGGACAGGATTCATTATGATTGTAAAAGTTTGTGTATCTTGTTGTGAGTATCGTATATATAGGGGGGTAAAGATCGTGACAGGAGACCTACCCAAATACCCCGCACCCGGTATATTCTCACGACCCACCGTTTATTATGCGTTTGATATGCATACAATCAAAGGCAATGAAGAATGTTTCTCAATTTCATTGTATTTATTTAAGTTACGCTGTAACCAACAACAGTGATAAAATGAGGTTCTTATACGTTCGTTCAAGTACAGTGTATATTGAATCATAACATAATCAAATGGAACAAAGTTTTACGTCTCTGAGCCTTCTTTCAAATGAGGGCGTCCATAAATCCTTGTTGACCAAAATGTACATTCATTTGTGAAATTGCAAAGACGTTAGCTTATTTATAACAAGTTTTTTTTTTAAATCTTGATAATGAGCAAGACATCCGTTCATTTATGCTCAGATTGCCATTTGCTACATACATGTTCCTTTATTATTTGCTCACCTGAGCCAAAAGCTCAAGTGAGCTTTTCTGATCGAAGAGTGTCCCGCGTCCCTCTGACCATATGTCTGTCGCGTGTCTTCTGTAAACTTTCTCTTTTGTAGAACAACTGTGCCAAATTCAACCAAACTTGCCACAAAGTATCCTTGAATGAAGGAAATTCGAATTTTTCAAGTGTAGGGTCACACCTCTTCTCAAGGAGAGATAATTAAGAATGAAGGGCCACACCCTCTTCCAAGGGGAGATAATTAAGAAAAAGAAAAAATTGGTTGGGGTCATTAAAAAATCTTCTTCTCAAGAGTCACCGAGTCAGAAAAAATAAAACTTATGTGAAAACTTATTTTGGCACAGTGTAGATTCAAGATTGTTTAAATCATGTCCTCCCGGAATAGGATGGGGTCACGATACGGGATTAGAATTTTCCAGTGGAATATACTTTTTCTCAAGAACAGCAGGGTGATGATATGTACTGTTAATATCCCAACATCCTCAGGCAATGCAGGTTCAGGTTTAATTAATTCATGGTCCCAGGGGTAAGGTGGAGCCATATTATGGGATCAGACTTTAACTTGGGAATAAGTATGCCAGTTTTTTTAATCTTCTTCTCAAGAAGAGCAAGGCCATGATAATAAATATTAATAAATAATCATCCTCAGGTAGTGCAAATCCAAGTTTGTTCAAGTCAAGGCCCCCAGGGTAGGATAGGGACACAATAGTGGATCAAATGTTTACAAAGGAAATCAATAGAAATTCCTTTTTTCAAGTATTCTTCCCAGGAAAAACAGCGCCACCTTCAGTGATACTGATAAGCAAGCGTCTTCAGGTATTGCAGATTCGATTTTATTCAAATAATTGTGTCGGGCCTAACTTGGGGCAATTTTTGTGGCCATGGATCAGTTGTTTAATGTGAATGCATTGGAAAAAATCTTTTAAAATATTTCTCCCAAGAAAAGAAAGGTCATGATTAGTGACATAAATATGCGAATATCCTCAAGTAGAGCAGATTCAAATTGGTTCAAATCATGGTCCCTGAAGGTAAGTCGGGGCCACATTAGGGGATCGGATTCGTATTTGTGTGTGCTTTGAAAATGAAAAGAAAAATTCAAGAGTATCGAGGCCACACGAAATCATATTGATAATTATGCAATTATTACAAAGTTGTGTAAATTCAAGTCTTGTTGAAATTATGGACACTGGAGTTAGGATGGAACTAAAATTGGGTATCCAAATTTTACAATGCAATATAATGGACTAATGTTTAAAAGAATAAAATCTTCTTTTTTTTTTAATTCTCTTCTCCAGAACATCAAGGTCATTTAGAAGTTAAATTGATATTGAAGCATCCAAAAGTTGTATGGATTCAAGTTCAATTTACTTAGGCCTATAAACCCTTGAGGCCAAGGTAGTTCCACAGTATGGGGACTAAATGGGGTCAATTTTTTTCATTGGAATAAAGGATTTTTTTTCAAAAATTCTTCAGGTTCAACTTTACTCTGGTGAGCGTTGTGGCCCATGGACCTCTTGTTTTAAAAAGTATTGGTTATTTCTATGCTTAAAAAAAGAAAAATACATCCAAGTCTCAGATTTTTCATTAGGATAACAGCATACTAACAAAAGCGGTATAACTCTGGTTATACGACAGCCAACTGCTTACTACCAACTGCCAGCTGCCTGCTGCCAGCTGCTCACTGCTTACTGCCAACTGCCACTGCTTATAGATGATATTGCCTATTTTGATATCTTAATATCTTTAATACGCATACTTGAATAAATCCTACGATCACAAGAAAAAGAACTGCGAATGCTAGTATTGTTCCGCTATTTTCAAAATTTAACATATTTGAATGATTTTTTTTTATATTTACACTGTATATAGACATTAATGTAAATTTTCATAAAACATAACTTATTTGGGAAAGCAAAGTGAGTTAACTCCATAATTTTGGTAAAACTAGTGTTTAACACTAGGAACACAGATATTTATTTTCAACCCCCCCCCCCCTCCTCTGTGAAACAACAACCTTTCTACAGGTAAAACGAATCGTTATTTCACAAATTCATAGCAAAGGTTTTGTTGTTTCACCGGGGGGGGGGGGATGTTTACAGACTAAAAACAGCAAAAATAGTTACATGTACTTTATTACCAATTAATTTCAAATGAGAAAAAAAGTTCTTGGTCAATCTGATGTAATGTATGTTGAATTCTACATAAGTTAAACAAATGGAGAGATTTAAGGGTTATTTATCCATTTCCGTGGGTATTTGAAAATCTGGTCATGTTTTAAAGCCTGACTTCAGTTGATAAAATTTCTAACCCCTTCCCCCTTATGAAATGATGTAAGGGTTATTTATGTATTTCCATGAATATTTGAAAATGTGGCCATGTTTTAAAGCCTGATTTCATATACCCCCCCCCCCCTTATGAAATGAGCTGTAAATAAGATAGATTAACTTTTTGACACTGGTTTTAGAATTATTTATTCACTTCTAATGAACTTTTCTTTGCATTCAAACAAGTTTTAATGGCCAAACACACAGTGTTTCATACTGGCGACCGTTTTGTCTAGTTGTGTGGATTCGAATGGTCATCCGAGTGACATTTTGATAAAAAAAAAAAACCGGAGATCTATCATATACAGATAGAATGAAAAGATCTGTTAATATTGTCAGAGATGGGAGCGTCTAGCACTTTGCGGTACAAAATCTGTCGACTTGCTGGTCGCTATGGGTATTTCTTGTGAGGGAACTTATAAGATTGTGCGCTAGGAGATTGAAAAAGATGACCAGGGGAATTCTTTATTTAATGAAGGAGATAGAATGTTTTACGTGGCAGAGAATGTGAATGGGGTTATATGTGCTTGTGATGTGAACGCCAGGGCCGTTGTGGTCAACAAGAAGGAGAAATTCCAAAACCGATATAGGCCTGAAGGAATGTTAACATAATTTATCTTGCATGTAGGGGGCAGAAATATGCCACCATATTTAATGGCGTTAGTAAATTTACCAGTACTAAAATTAGATTCTTTAAAGAGATTGGTAACTTGCATGTCAACATAATTATTTTGCTTGTTGACATAAATGAGTCGCATATATTTAACATAATTTATCTTGCATATAGGGGGCAGAAATATGCCACCATAAGGAATGCAAACGATGGAAGGAAAGTTTATTCCATGTACCATTATTACGGACGCCATGGGTCATATCCTGGTGGGTGATAATGGGAATAAATGCATCCACATCAATGATCAGGACGGACAGTTTCTCCGTAGTCTAGATAACTAATGATAGATTAAGTATGGACGATCTAGGGCGACTCTTGGTGGGGAATCTGGAGGTTATGAGGTGAAAGTCTTCAAATATACCGAATAGTAAACAGTTATAGTATTCTAGTTAGAACTGCCCTCTTAACAGCAAAAAAACTAATCTATGTAATGTATATTATGAACATGCTTAAATGATGCCAAAGTATCAGATGAGATGTAAATGTATATATTATAATATATGTGATTAATTAGTACTGTGTAATATGCAAATATAGATGCTTGCAAGGATATTTGTAATTTGGAGACTGTTTTTTGTTGTTGTTATTATTACTAAGTAAATAATTACGAACAAATTTGTGTGGATAGAAAGAAAAAGTGTCCCGTTTCAACATAATGTTCAAACATATTTAATGTATATTTTAAGAACAGTTTGAAGTGAAAATTAGCAATTTTTGGAAAACTCTTTAATGGATCTGGAACCCCGGCTTTGACAAAATAATCAGGGTTACGCATTTTATGTTGAAAAATAAATATTATTTTAACATTGAAATGATGTGTATGAATTGGAGAGAGAAGTGCATACACAACTCTATACTTACATAGCAAACTCAAGCATACCACTAGTCGCATTACACTATGAATTACACTTTTGAATATTATTGCCTAAATGTCACAGCCTCGAGCATTGTTAAAATCTGATTTTCACATGATCTTGAAACTGTGGGTTAAAAGCTTAAATAGTTATGTAAGCAGATAGAAAAAAAAAAACAAACAGAGAAATCGCACGCTATAACTACATGTACCAAACAAAGTAAGATTTTTCCTTGGAAAATTGAATATGGTGGTTGGTTTTCAGTGGTTGGCCGAAATATCGACGTTTTCCAGGCTTTTTTTTCACGATTTTGATATTTTACGTGCCAGGAAAACGTCAGAACCGGTGTAAAGACGAATTATGACCCACATTGAATAATGACCGGGGGTCATTTTTCGACGTCGAATAATGACCCCCGGTCATTATTCAACGGCGAAAAATGACCCTTTTGCCCGCAGAAAAAGTGTCATAACCCTAAAAACCTGCATACCCCACGTGAAGAAAAATGACCCCCGTAGAATAATGACCCCATGTGATTTAAAGCGGATTAAAGTTGAAACTTTTAGGGGGCAAAATAAAACTAATAAATCAAGAGACCTGTTGGCCAAAATGCTCACTTGAGCTTCATTGGGAATAAATCGATGATATATTGATCTCATTACATTATACAATCATTGCTGTTTTTAAGGTCAATTCAATGATTCAGAATCAAATGGAGTTAAAGATTTATCGAGTACAAAGGGCGAGGAGAGCATTGTTTTTCGATGGTGGAAAATCACTGATCGTCCTGACAGAAAAACAGCAATAATTGTTTTATTATATGATTCAACTATTAAATTGATACAAACCGATTACGCAGACATGTACATTTACATTTGCTCAAGTCTAACCAAACAGAGTGAAAGAATAGGAGTTAACATACATGTAAGCATAACCAGTATTAATTTTGCATTTGAAATCTAGTTTTGGTGCAATGTAGAAAAAACAAATGTCGGGCATAGCATCGAAAGGGGAAATGGCGCATTATAAGAGTCAAAAATTAAAAATACTTTTAGTTAAAAATATCTTTGATGAACCCCTCAAAAAGTTTATTGATGTAAGTGGGATTTTCTTTTACTCTACTGTACCAAAAAGCTGGGGGTAGGACAACCAGACTTGCAATGACCATTTTCAGGCGAAAAAAAGTACCTTCATGGAAATGGAAGGGGCTGGACACACCATCCCTGATTCTATGTGCCTGAATGTAATGTTCATTTTGTTCACTCAAGTAGGAGAGATTTTTTAACTATACTGTATAAGAAAGAGGGGGTGGTTACAAGACTTTCAATGAACATTTTCAAATTAGAAATTGCTAAAATTTACATTCAGAAAAGGGGGAACAATCCCTCCCTCTTCTCCGATTCTTTGTGCCTGAATATTATGTTCACTTGAGTAGAATTCAGATGCAGGTGAAATAACTTTTCAGAATTGTTTTCAATCTATTTTTAGTTCAATGTAGGAAAAATAAATCCTTATACATGTATTCACCTTGAAGGTCAATAAAATAGTTTTGTCTTTAATTATAGATTGAAAACATTAATCTACTTCAATATACACTGTATTGAAAATGTTTCCATATTGATTTGACAAATGTATCACTGTTTTAAAGTGGATTAAAAAATATTCCTCTTACATGTATGTATCCTATTCTCAGACGACCATGTTCACAGACTTGAATGTACATTATACTGGGATTCTCCTGTATTACTTCTATATACTTGAAAAGAAATTCCCATAGAGTAGACCACTGTTTATAAATAAAATTGAATGCACATCATAAGATTGTATATATTTCAGAGATGCAGAAATTTTATGTCCTTCTTATGTTTGTCACGTCTGCTTCATATTTGGACGTTCTACTGACTATAGACCATAAAGACCAACTAACAACTTAATTGTCTGACAAACGGGATGACTTTAGCCTTTTCTATTGTCAATTTTCCTTAATTATGAAGTAATATTCTGCAATCATTTGCATATAATGTTTACGTCTTCCAACTTATTCGATACCCAAAAAGCACGATTAATTTTTAAATCGAGGCAGGCTACTGACAGATACATGTAAGTTGATGTTACAGGGGTTTCAACAACCTCGTTTAAAGTCAGCATTTCGTAGATTCAATGGTCGTATCAATGAC